AAAAAACATCAAGTATTCCAACCACGCCATACTTTTCGTTATACACATCCGAAAATTTCGAAATTTTAAACGCATCCACTGTTTATCTCACCAGAACAAAAAATTGAAACAGCCCAAAATTTCCATATGAATTATTTTGTCGATCGAGGTACTCTAAATCGCTGGGTAGCCAAAGGTTTGCGCCCAAACCATCCCCGAACCTATTATGCGATGGGATTTACCGTATCGATTATAGCGTATTGTACTTTGCTTTCGTGTATGTTATCCACGCGAAACACTCTACGTGTCGCACGATAATTTCAAAGCATAATATTTGTTCCAAACACGCATCGATTACTCTCGTTATCAAGCTACACGTTCATTTAGATTAACCTGTTTCCAACCATGAAATGTATTTATAGGCGAAAATTCCTCCATAATCACGTGCAGTTCATACTTCCTCGGCTACAAGAAACTATAACGGAGTTAATGTTTATTCGAAATGTAGGTCTTCGTAAATCTAGTTTAGGACGCAAGTTTCTGTAAGTCTATGCGAGTACATTCAAATGAAATATGTATAGGATACATATACTTTAATTTTGATAATTTACTTTTTTAGAAAATTCAGGATATATGTGATTTTTAAATTAGATATCGTGTATTAGTGCAAGGCGCACCTTGGATGTCTAAGCGTTACGTATATATGTATATGTATATGTACATGTATGTGTATATGTACATGTGTGTGTATGTGTACATGTATGCGTATGTGTATATGTATATGTACATGTATGTGTATATGTACATGTATGTATGCATATACATGTATGCGTATGTGTATATGTATATGTACATGTATGTGTATATGCACATGTATATGTAAGTGTATATGTATACTTATATGTATTACCATTTATTTACTACTTGTATGAAAGAAAATTGTCATACTCCCTGTTGCAATACACTCCACTGAGAACTCCTTCATCTATTTAGTAAATTAAAGAAGTAAAAAAAGTTAAACAGTGCAAAAGCAATTGTCTTCTGACAATTTGAGGTTCACTGAATCTATAGAGTCATATCAGCCCAGTAAAACAGACAATAAGTTCGAAAGAAGTCATCAAAGTGGCGAACCGAAAAGTTTCAGACTCGCTGTCGCCAACAGCAAAAACACCTTCGTCAAGGGTTAATAGTTTGAAAGGAACACGAAAGAAGGCCAACCTTCTGGCTTCACATTTCAATCACCCCTGCACGAATAAAGCCGATGAAAATGTGGACAAAATTCGTCAGACAGATTTACTGGATTGTATCTAGGCGATTGTATCCGAGTGAACGGTGAAAAAGTCGTGAAAAGTGAATGAGTGGAGATTGGTTCTTGCGCCGCGACAATAGATCCATTCACGCGGCCTTGATCGTTCGGCCGGTTTGAAAACAAAATGCTTTTCTTTGTTCCCGTAAATGAAGCAGCAATTGAAAAGGACGCGATTTTTCTGACGTTGCAGAAATTCAACGGGCAACGTTGGCAAACCTTGACAAAATTCCAACTCAAGATTTTTAGACGGAACCGCTTTCAGATGTGGAAGGAGATGCTGCTTCGGCAACTCCCATGGGAAATACTTTGTCTGAAATTGAAACTCCGGGCAAGCGAATACGAGACGTTCATTTTAATGTTTTGCATCATTCTCTTACCATTTTGCAACTATACCATGAATCAGTGTTTGATATTTTCGGAGCTAGACATTGAAACTAGGTTTCCGAAAAACACTTTTCTATTTTTAAATAAATGTATCATAAAACGTTTAAAATTGTTCACGTCATAAATTTTTAATAAATCATATGCATTAGCTTACTGCATAAATTAAATCTCATTATGGCACATCTAATCCGTTAAATTACTTTTCTGACATGGCTTCTAATAACTGCTATCTATTACGTGTCTCAGCTAATAAATCAATTTTCACGGTGGCAGTGAACGTGTTAACCCTTCAGCTACAACGGAAGTTGCTGTCAGTATGCCATAGTTAAACGGAACCCTGTACCATGAGCGTACATTTACCATGCAGACAATGTCTAGCATTCTGAATCAAATGAATACCCTCTATCTCGGTATATCTGAGGAATACAATCACCCGTAGTATCAGAAGATCGTTTCATAGGGAACTGCTACTACTCCGTAGTACGTGAACAAAATTTCCTGCCCAACGAGCTATAAGAGTTTCTAGAACGGTTAAACCTTTGAAACATGGCGGTAAGAAAACTTTTCCACGGGAATATACAGGCTGTTTCAAAAAGAATACATAGGTAGTTACGGTGTTAAAAATTAGGGCCAACTATTTCAAGACTTCATAGTGATCAACAGTATATAGTATCAACAGTAAAAAGTCACGGTTTTACCAGAACCGCCAGTCAAATCCCTAGAGAAGAAACAGTCTGCCAGGCAGAGAACGTGATCCATCATTTTTTGCAAAGGTGGCTGATAAAATGGGTAACAAACAACTAACAACTTGAAAAAGATTACAGTTTCAGAAAGTAATATCATACAGGGTGAGTGGCACGTTCTGTGCGACACAGAACATAATGAAGTTATTACCCTTTTGAGTGAAGAAAAGTACTGTTAAAAAGACTGTATCAACAAGATATTGAAACTTGAAATGACGAAATCTATGAAGAGAAACGTGAAGATGGTACCGGAACTGCAGAACGAAAAAATATAGGTCTATATATAAAACTGTAAAAATATTATTAGCTCTACGACATAAGGTGTTAAAAATTAGGGTCAACTATTTCAAGACTTCACAGTAATCAACAGTACAAAATAGAAGAGGAAATTTCTGATGAACAAGGGTCATGAAACTCATACAATATTCTATTTAAACTATAGTACTTCTTTCTGATAATCAAGCATCATATCTAAATAACTGAGTATCTTACTACTCCATCTACTAATATTTACACGAGTATAAGCACTTTACCACAAAGAATTATCACAATTTAATAAAAGAATGTTAATTTCGTATCAGTGCGATTAGTGATCAGTGAGAAACATTTGCAAATTTTCAAAGAAATCCCTAAGATATCGTATTACTTTAATCAATAAATGACAGAAAAGCGTTTCATGTATAGACTTGCCAATGAAAGTGCTGTACCGTTTGAAGACGTTACATAGAAAAATATCCGAGCCATAAACCATCTCATGTATTCTTTACGAAACTTCATCACGTCTTCTCGAGATCAGTTCATTTAAAACACGACGTCGAGATTCGGGAAGATAGGTCTGTTTCGACCTGGAGGTCCGCGTTTTAAGGGCGATCGAAGAAAATCTAGAAACAAGTATGAGAAGAAATTTAGCTGCAGTAGGAATCAGTCATCCTCTTGTGTGCAGAATTCTTTACGATCGGCTGTTATACCCATGCCATATTCAACGAGTGCTGGCCCTCGTTCCACCAGATTATCCAGAAAGAGTAGAGTTTTCGCTGTGGAATCTTGAACAACGTGCAGTGAATCCGCAATTTATTTCGCACATTTTATTTACCGAAGCTCCGTTCACGGGAAACATCACGAAGTTTTATAACAACCTTACAGAAGAAAACACATGCGATTATTCAGACAAATCGCTAACATCGACCACTATCAGTTCCTTGAATCGTTTATTCTATCAAATCGGCTGGCGGGTGTAGTGTACCATGATTCCCTAACGAACATGCTGTAACGCCTCTTGTGTGACGTGCCTCTTCGCCATAAACTGAATCTATGGTTTATGTATGATGGTGTTCCAGTCTATTTCACCTTCGATGTTCGACAAAATTTAAACCAAAATTTCCGAGAAAAATTAATTGAACGTAGTGAAACAGTTTCATGCTCTCGATCACCTAATTTGAATTCTCCAAACTTTTTCTTATGAAGATTTCTTAAGAATGTGGTTTACTCTTTACCTATAAATTATGTGGATGAATTTCGTAAACGAAAGGAAAACGTCTGTGTAGTGCGAAGAAAATCAGGGATTTTTAAAAAAGTTTGGAATTCCTTTATACGAAGAGGCCTACGTGAAAATGGTAGGACACATGAAAAGTACTATAAACATCAGTAGAAGAAATAGTAGGATATTCAGTTATTTTATATCGTGGTCGATTACTAGGAGCAAGTAGCTCGAGCATTATAATCCAAAACATACTGCTTATAACTTTGAATACATAATATTTTTGACCGATATTTATTACAACTTCGTCCTTGTAGTTAACTGTGCGCCTTCAAAATAGTTTACTTCCTTTTAACATTCTGAATAACTTCGTTAAATAGTTTAGTGTCTTGAAATCACTTACAGGCCATACCTATAACTGCGTATACCTTATTTAAAATATCCAGGGACTTATCTTGATGGCATCTTTGTAAGTTTTGATGTTCAATCTCTCTTGCCTAATATTCGCAATCTAGATATCACCTACAATAGCCTTCCATGTAACCTCACCTCTAATTTTGATGAATGTTCATTATAACTTTTCCCTTCTTATTACCATTCGCTTTTAATATATTTTACCTTTTTTTATCAGACTGTATTGTATAATGTTATTACGTAATATACTTAACTATAATATTATTATGTAATATACAGGGTGTTTCAAATGTTCAACTATTTTCACAGGGGTAACAAAATATAGATGTTTTCTGTGCTATTTAATGACGCCTTGTAATTGTTTCATATGCTAGTAGTTTGAATGATGATCTACAGCACCATAATCTAAGGTAGTGGTTTTTAACCACAGCTCACTGTGACACTAGTGTTCCAAGAGCTTATTACAAGTCTCCCGTAAAATTACAGGAGACCGACATGTTCATGTACCGCATTAAAATTGATTTAACGGAGTACCATTTCTCCAGAAGAGCGATTTTGTAGTTTGTATAAATGCAATACTTTTACAGTCTTTCTTTCATTATTCCTTGATCGTTATTTTGTTAAGTAGTTAAATATTTAAATAACATTTCTAGTAAAGAAATAAACGAACTAATAGATGCTTTTGTTCTTGCAGTTTCAGAATGAACGTTACGGTGGCTTATACGGATACAAGTAGTTTAGCTGGAATTATGGGCCTCGAGTCCGAGATAAGGATGGATAAAGCCGGGAACGTTTTGGATAATGACCTTGACATTTCACCGGTCACCTTATCGTCGGCATGGTCGAGGGTAGCTAGACTCCTTTTACTGGCCTCTATGGCTGTTGCTGGCAGCGTTGGTAACGTCTTCATGATTTCTGCAGTGGTTGTTGAAGATCAACTCAAAAAACGAGGTATACTTACTCCATTTTTTAAAATTCTCTCATTCCCCCATTCTTCCATTCAGGAATTCACATATTTATAATTGTAACGTTATAAGATATCAAAACGTACAGCATTTAGATATCTTAATGCAATATATCAAGATTTTTGATATATAAGAAATTCAACTTTGCATCAGGAATTGATATTGCAATTTTCAGTAATAATATAGCGAATTATCTAATATTTACATTTCTTGCATCGTGTAATGTTTAGAATCATGTAATAATTACATGCAATACATCAAGTTTTTAGAAAAAAAAAAATTCAACCTCGAACCGAATATTGATATTGCAATTTTCAATATGACATATAAAAGCACTATTTATTTTAATGCAACAAGAAACATGTAATATTTATTGTAATGCAATATATCAAGTATATGTATATATTTATTTAATGCAATACACTGCATATATATTTTTAAAATGAAGTCCATATTCATATCTTGAAAATTAAGTCGATATTCATATTTTAAAAATGTAGTCAATATTCATTTCTTAAAAATGAAGTCCACATTCATATCTTAAAAATAAAGTTCACATTCATACCACAAAAACAAAGTCGAAGATCGTATAATGATTTTTTAATTCCCTTTTGATAGCAAAATGTACGTGACTTTTCGATTGTATGGTATTTGTGGAACAGCCTGTATCCTCCACTGTAATTGCTAACCTTGTTAGACTAAATTCGCATGTTACAGGGAATGCATTTCTGGTGAATGTCGCATTGGCAGACTTGTTAGTAACAGGCATGGTGATACCCGTATCAGTGATTGTGATTCTGGCCGGACACGAGGAATCATTAAGCACATGTCGATTCGAGTGCACCCTGGAAGCCCTTTGTTTCCTGGTCACGGTTCTAACCTTAGCTACCATTGCTGCGGAAAATTATACCCGTTTGTGTCTACCAGCTGAAAGGTAACGATTTTATTCAATTACATATTGGCACTGGTGCTTAGCCACATGCTACGACACTCCGGTAAATTATATGCCTGACACAAGTTTTGAGGTTGTATTACTTTTTTTTATTGGAAAGTATAATGGAAGGTATTTGAATTCCTGAAAAGTCATAAATGACATTTTTATTTGGAAATTGATTCTCTTATGTGCTTTTGAAAATTTATTTTTTACGGAATTGTAATATTGTAGTATTTTATTATATTTACATTTGTAATATTTTATTATGATACATATATTTTATTATAGTAGGTAATATTACCAAGCTTATTTTTAAATTATGGGAAAATCTCGATACTTTCTTGCGTTGGGGGCTATAGAGGTGGGGCAGGGAATTAGGAAGTATTAACTGTTATTATTGGAATATTGCTGGAATTTTCTGAATTCTCTCAAGGTTTTATAACATGTAATATTATACTTATGGTATATATCTTTTTTGTATTGCAAATTTATGAGAAAATAGGTAGCTTTTGTAACGAACTCTTAAGAATTACCAAGCTTATTTTAAAATTTATAATAGAATCTCGATACTTCCCTGCGTTGGGGGCTCTAGAGGTGGAGCAGGGAATTATGAAATATTAACTCAAGGTTTTTGCTACAACTGTTCTGCATACTAACTATACATGTACAAATGTACATTAAATAAATATAATAAAATGAAAGAATACTAACGTAAAAAAATATTGACAAGAATTCTAAAACACCTTAATTTTCTTATAAATAGTTGCTTAACATTCTAAGAAACAATTGCTGTCATAAAATATAACCTCAAAATTTGAGAAGCAGGATTTGTGAAGTATCCTATATTTATTTTGTACCTAGAATAAGAACTATTAATAATTAACAGTAAGTAAAGATAACGAAGTATGAAATATTTATAATAAGTGAAAATATATTTTGTGTCAAATTTTAATACCAATAAATGGCGAGGCGATAAACGAACAGCTATGATATTTCTCTTAACCAGGTTTCGAAACTTAACACGGAACTTAATTTTTCTAACAAACTAATTCCTGAATGACGAATCCTAATTAATAACATCAAAATGTGTATGTATATAAACAATTAAAACAATATTCGTTAAATGATTGTTTTATTACATGCTTATTAAAAAAGATAAGGAGTTGAAGGTAACAGCATGGATGAACGAGTAACTTTTTTCATTTTCAATACAAATCAGAGAACAATTTTAAATTTCGCTTTTCACCTTGCTTTGTTACGTTTCAAAATTATATTGCATATATTTCCGAAATTTCGCTTTTCTTCAAATATTACAAGATAGCTGTTATGTTGAAATATTAGAATGATCAATTTCATACGTCTTTTACACATTTTCAATTATTAACCATTCATTAGACACTATTGGAAAAGTACACATTGGCTTGCACATTTTTGATGAGCTTTTTTCTGCTAAAATTTTTACAGCATATATTTGGAAATATTTATAGGGCGTGTTTAATAAATTTGCGAAAGAAACAAATCTTTCATTTTTTAAGAGTAAAATTTAATCTAAACTTTTTAGAAATACTTAACCTAAAGAACTTAACCTAAAAGAGCAACTTCACTTCTTAAAAATTTAGCCTAAATTAAATTTAATTTAATTTATAATAAATTATAATGTAATTTTTTATAATAAATTAGAACTGATGAATTTTCCTTCGTATATAGCATCTAATTTTTAAATAAATTCAAACAGAAAAATTGTAAATCGCATGAAAGTTCTTTCTTCTTCATATAGTGGCGAATTGTATATTTACGCGTTTGCATTATTAAATTGAAAATTTCGCCTCCGATATCTTTTAATATAAAGAAGTTATTTGAATATTTAGTAACAGGGTATTCGCGATAATACGGACCAGTGTTTTCCTCGTATACAGTAAACATTTCAACAAAATGGAAGAGAACAAAGTTGTGCTACATTTTCCTGATAACACGATGGTCTACATCAACTTTTTATATTTACATTATTTTGCGAGAAAGAAAAGTGACTTCGGTATTTTAAATGTAATGCTATACACTTTTGAACGTCATACGAAAACACGTGTCAAGAATTCGATTTATGTATATGATTATGACCTTCGAGGATAAGCAAGGGCAGACACGAAAGAAACAAATTGAACTTTTCGTAACATTGTATTTATTATTGTGTCACTACAAATTGATAGGACTATACATCATGTTAAATGTGGCTTCCATTAGCACGAATGCATTTCTGAGCTCTATTGATTACACCCCTGGTACTTTGTGCTAATGTTGCACTGGATATAGATACACCGCTTATCTTAATTTGTAAGAAGTTTAAATCTATTAGCGGTGTACTATAAACAATGTCTTTAATATGAGCCAATAAAAAAAGATCTATGGGTGACAAATAGCGGGATGCAGGCGATTTTATAGGTTCGCATGTTCCGACCCATTTATTATCGAACATATTGTTTAAAAAACTTGTTATCGATCTGCAGTTATGAAAGACCTTGCCGTGTTGGTAATACTTGCATAAAAAACAGTAACAGTGATTCTCAATAATTTTGAAATTCATTATTTCAAAATTGTGAGTATTGCCACTTAAAGTTTCGGTATAAAAGTACGGACCAAGTAACGTATCAATAATTCCGCACCAAACATTTCTTCCATGCGTCTAAAAATTTCTTCTTAATTTATTCTGAACTGATACCTATCACTTTGCAGTGGCAACCGCTGGTAAAACAATATTACAGAATGTTCAATCTACTTCCTTCCCTCGCATGTACTTAAAGATTATATGCATTAAATTCTTGTCACACGGTTTCGTATGATGGATCACACCGGAAGGTTAATAAAATTCAACAGCAATTTTCTTGGTTAACAAGTTAAATATATAGTAAATGAACTATAAAGTAAGCATGAATTCAGTCAGGAAGATATTAATTAACACTGCTGCAATTAAATTAATAGGATAGAAGCGTGATAGCTTGTACGAACATGCAAACCATTTGTATATAGCACTAACATAGAGAGCAATTACATCAAATTAGATACTGTAGCATATATCATGATAATGCGCCATACAGTAGACTCTCGTTGTTTAGCCATCATATTGAGCCTTTTCATACGATTTATTAACGTAACTAGTATTCTATTCTTGGAAGTGCAATTATATGGCCACGCACTGTATAACTGTGATATTACATTTTGTTATATGGAGATTTGTTGTATAGTCATGTGTTATGCGGAGAATTAAAATGTCAAGTATTATATTATATTTAAAATATATTACATTATATTTATATTATATTATATTACATTTATATTATATCATATGTATTGTATTATACAGGGCGTCTCACAACTAGTGTAACTCCCTGAAAGGGGTGGTAGAGGACGTGATTCTGAACAATATTTCTCTTTGCAAAAATGGGGTTCGAAGCTTCGATTTGGAATTATTAAAGAAAAACACGGACCAATCAGAGCGCGAGGATTATTACGCGTTGGATTACTACGCGTTGGTTAACTACCCGTTACATTACCACGCGTTAGATTCCTACGCTTAGAATTACCACGCGTTGGTTAACTACGCGTTACATTATCACGCGTTAGATTCCTACGCTTAGAATTACAGCGCGTTGCATTACTACGCGTTGGACTATTACGTGTTGAATATCCACGCTCTGGATTACTACGCGTTTGATATCCACACGCTGGATTACGACGCGTTAGATTACCACGCAATAGAGTCCTATGCTTAGAATTACCACGCGTTGCATTATTACGCGTTGAAT